TTTCAGGATTAATTATGATACTTCTTCTAAGGAGAATTTACCATATTGATAAGGCCCATGGTGCTTGTAGTACATCAGTGTTGCATTGTAGCACATTTTAGTGGTAAGAAACATAATCTTGTACAATATAGTATTTGTAGTACATGAGCATCATACCTCCTACATTTCACTTGTTCAGAGAGGGTTTCCCCCCCCTTAACCCTGTTCACTGGTTTTTCAATGAGAATATTATACATCCAGAGTATTCTCATACATCATGGAGATTAGCAAGCAGCATAAAAGACACATTCATACAGTTATGGAGTCACAGAATCATCAAGCTGGAAGGGGCCCATGGGTCACTGAGTTCAATCCCCTGCTCAATCCAGGATCTCCAGCTAAAACTATTTCTTGTAGCCAATTCTGTGAAAATAGCTCCTAACTAGATAATAAAGATATACAGTTGAAGTCTAAAGTTACAATCATCCAAGCCTTTGTAGATCTATCACCATGGATGGATGCAAGAGCTGGACAGTAAAGAAGACATGTAAGAGGAAAAACCAACACATTTCAGATATGGTACTGGAGAAGAGTGCTGAGGATACTGCAGACAGCAAAAGATACAACAAATGGGCCATTGAGCAAAACCCCTAATTGATGTACCCAGACAGCTTTTATAGCTGTTCCATATATTTCCTTTTCTGTTTCTCAACCAAACTTAATTGAAGAAACTTGATATAAGAAATAATTGAAGAAATAAGACTACACAAAAATATGGAATGAAATTAAAAAAGACCTGGTAAGGTGGACACGATTAAAGCTTTTATTTTATGGAAGAATAGCTGCATTTAAGATGTTCGCATTACCAAAATTAATCTTTCTATTTACTAATTTGCCGATAATCCATAATACCAAACCATTCTCGGTATGGAATAAAGAATTAAAAAAATTCATTTGGGAAGGGAAAAAACCTCGAATTAAATGGAAAATTTTAACTGACATTAAAGACAATGGAGGATGTAATGTACCGGACTTGGAATTATATTTTCAGGCTTGTGTATTAATATGGATACAAGAATGGATTAAAAGTAAAAATAAAAGATTGTTAGATTTGGAGGGCCATGATCTGAGATATGGCTGGCATGCGTACTTATGGTACAATAAAGAAAAGGTTCACCAAAAATTTTCGCACCACATAATAAGAAGAGCGCTCATAAAAACATGGGGGAAAATAAAATCTAACTTTTATAGGGGTATTCCAGGATGGATGTCACCACAAGAGGCCATGCTAGGTAGATTTAAAACAGTAAGGAATTGGTTAAAATATGAGGAAATTATTATACAGGAACCGCGTGATGTAACAATTAGATTAAAAGATCTGGAGGTAATCAGAAATAGAGACCCTGACCTAACATGGTTTCAATACCATCAATTACAAAGCATGATGATAACTGATCTTAAAACACAAGGAATACATCTTGTAAAGAATGAATTAGATAATATTCTAATAGCAGACAAACCAAAGCAAATAACTAACTTTTATAAGATATTATTGCAAAGAAAATTAGAAGATGAAGTTGTTAAGGAACATATGCTATGTTGGGCAAGGGATGTTGGCAACAAAATTTCCCTGGAAAATTGGAATGAAGCTAGGAAAGCAACATATAAATTTACAAGCAATCAAATATTACGAGAAAACTTTTTTAAGTTAGAAACTAGATGGCATCTTACCCCCAAGAGATTGGCAAAAATGTACAGAAATAACAACGATATTTGTTGGAAATGTAAAAAAAATCATGGTACGTGGATTCATATGTGGTGGTCTTGTCCGGTTATAGCTCAATTCTGGCAAATGATACATAAGCTAATTATGGAAATAACTAATATAACATTTGATTTCATTCCTGAAATATTTTTGTTAAACATGGTACATTTGATAAAAGGTTTAGAAAAGAAAGAAAATGGGAAACTAATATTATATATGATAACAACGGCTAGGATACTGGTAGCTAGCAAATGGAAAATAGAGGGAATACCAACTATTGATAATTGGTTGCTTAGCTTAATAGATATGGCAGAATTGGATAGAAAAGAACAGTTAAAGGAAGGAAAAACAAAAAATAAGATTAGCAATATATGGAATTCAATACTCATTTATTGTAAAAAAAGATGGGAAATATAACATCTTAACAACTTAAAAGGATTTGTATTATCAGAAATATTATATGGGAAAGATACTTAAAAAGAAGAGTTGAAATTAGAGACGACAAGAGAATCTTGTAAAATAAGAAGTGCTGAATGATAAAACTAATTAACATTTTATAGACGGGATATGTCAATGACAGTGAATTGTATAATTAGCCGGAAATATGTATTGGTAATAATGATCTATAATCTATAATCTGGATAAATATTATATTGTGGCTTTTGTTATATAGCTTTGTAAAATATTTATGTTATAATAAAAAAAAGAGAAAGAAATAAGACTGCATCAGGAAACAAAACAAAAAAAAGTCACATCTGCCTTCCTGTTGAGGCTTCCTCTAGCTGTATATGATATATTTCTATGATATATCTTCTATTACTATATTTAGGACCTAGAAACCAACTGACTGACTTTCGTTTTGGCAATGTTATTCACCAAGAAGCAGACCTCAATCTTGCACATTTAATTTTGCCTTTCCTTCTACAGAGACAAATATCATTTAAACTTTTGGTTTCTGAAACACAGAGCCCAAATAACAAATTTACCATGACAAATCCTGCACGATATTCTGGCCATGCTGGCTGAGGGATTCTGGGAATTGTATTCAAAGAGAAGCATTTCTGCACTTTGCTTTGGAAGTCTGCAGCGTTTGGATTTTAAATCACAGAGAAGGGCTTCCATAAATAGAAAAAGGTCCCTATTTCACAGTTCCTAGAAGAATATGGTTATTGACTAGCAGTGGATTCGTTGGCAAGGATGTGGCTAGCACAGGGTGACCTCACTCACTTTCTCCAGACACTAAAGATTGTGTGGCATAGGCCCTAATGGGCATGTTTGTCTTGAAAGGAACTGCATTTCATGACTTTTATTACAATCTCATCATTTGCCCAGTACTCTCTAAAATGATATCCTTCTTATAATAACAATAAAAAGGATAATGACTTTTTTAAAAAATCCAGAGAGGTCAGAGTTTAGCTGACATTTCAACAGATGTCTTAACACAGCATTAGACATGAAAAAAACAACAACCAAAAAACACTCTCACATTTATTTCCATCTGCTGCATTAACACCATTACTCTGACATTTTAAAATGTTGCATCAAAGAGATTGGGCTACATTTTCAGATACAATTACATAGGCTTGGAATAGTCCTAGTAATAATAATGAAATGCATTAACTTTTTTTTTTTTTAATAAAAATGACAAATCACATTGAACAAATCAGCTTAATGTTTAATAGCTTTCTGTTCACTCACTCTGATAATTCAACAATGGCATTTAAAGTGACCCTTGCTATTTGTTTGATTAAGAAAAGATTTGAGACAGGTTTAAGCCTTTCTCTGAATTCCCACTAAAAAGCCAGCAATGGCTACAGGACAACCAATCATTCTATTCACAAGCATTTTAAGAGCTAAATCCTCTGCTAGAATAATCACAAATGGGGAAAAACCACCCTACATTTGTTGGCATTCTACATTTTCATTGAAGGACATGTGCTAATGAATTCAGCTTAAGGAGAATGAAACATACACACACACACACACACACCCTTAATCCACAGGGAAAGAGAACATTTCTGATGCAAATCAATTTTCCTCAACAATTAAATGTTCTTTTGTTGAAATTCTATGGAAGCAATTATAACTTCTCACAAAGACCAGAAGAATCGAGAGAATGAAAATGCATTTTCAGTATGTATTCATCTCATACAAAATATTGTGCAGGGCTGCTGGTGGTAGTGAGGACTAATCTTTAACAAAAATAAATAAATAAATAAATAAATAAATAAATAAAAAATAAAAAATAAATAAATAAAAAAATAAGGATATTGTGGAAAGCTTGAGCTAATAAAATAATAAAAAAAAAAACCAACCTCAGTTTTCCAAGCAAGTTGTACTTACAGGATCAGTCACTGTTAGAAGCATGTCCCAGAATACCATCAGAAACTAAAATCACATTAGCAACTTACATATGATGCATGCATGGACCATTATCATGTAGACACTCTCAAGCCATTAGTAGTGACATTCAAAGGATTGACATTGAGTAGCAAGGGTCAGCCCATGAAATGGAACTTAAAGTAAATATTTTTAGTAAAAGGGGAAGACAAGTTACACCATGTGGCAAGGCAGGCTTCTATCCAGGGCTACAACCTGTGATTTGTTGACAGATAAGTCTTGAAATGGCATATATGATAGTAATGCATTCAACAAACCTCATCATTCAGTAACATACTGACTTACCTGAATCCTATATTTTCATCTGAGGCCTTTCTCCAAGTACACCTTTCAAATGAGGCAAAGCAAGTAGCCACAACACCTTCTCAGTAGTGGCACCATTTTGTGGAATGCCTTCCCCAGAAGCCTGCCAGCTGTTTACAATAGAGCTTTTGCAGAAACAGCTGAAGCCTTTTAAAATTCTCCCAATTACTTAAGGAACTGATTTTACTGCTTTAAGATTGTACCACTTTTCTGTTCTGTTGCTGTTTTTACTGGCTGTAATGTTTTTAATTTTCTTGTTAGTTTTATCTTGCTTTTACTACATGCTGTCTCTAGTTATTTTTATGGTCTGTTATATGTGGCCTAAGTTGCTAGTCTCACCTAGAGCAAACTTATTGATTTAGGTCATAAATGGTAAATCAAGACTGTTGTAAATGCCATTGATTCAATGGGGTCTATTCTAATTGACAATAGCAGTTGTTGTTCTGTGCCATCAAGTTGTTTTCTGACATATAGTGACTCTAAAGTAAACCTGCCATGGAGTTTTCTGGGCTGAGAGTGTGTGACTTGCTGAAGATCACCCAATGGATTTCCATGACCGAGCAAAGAATTGAACCCTGGTCTCCAGAGTCATAATCCAATGTTCAAACCACTACACTACACCACACTTATATTTTAAAATGTTTTATACTTGTTTGTTTGTTTAGTATCCCTTGTAAAGGATATCAGAGAATTTTTATATCAGGAGGTTTAAAAATACAACTGAAATGAACATCTGTGTATCACCTGATTTATTTGCAAAGCAGGGGTCTCAAAAGGTCACCCCACATAGCTAGCATTTTATAAGAACTCTCCTGCATGTATGGGAGCCAAATCATCTTTGGGGATCATGGGAAAGGCAGATAAATGCTTCAGATCTTTTAAAAGTTGAGATTGAAGGGGAAAATCCATTTAGGGGACAGAAATGAATTGTGATAACAATCAGAAGATGGGGCGTATCTCTCTCGCTCTCTCTCTGTAGATGTCAGTAGTGCTGCTTCCAATATAAATGCTAAAATCTACTTCTCTTCACTCTGGATTTTTCAGCAGAAGTCATGAATGTTCAAAATATTCCTAATACCTGTAGTCAATAAAATTGCCTTTGCATTTGTTCGGAATAAAGACACATTGAACCACAAAGTGGAAATGGAGTAAAATCTCAACTCTCCTTTCTTAGCCCAAAGCAGCCTTCCCCAACCTGATCCTCAGACACTATGTTGGATTACAACTCCCATTACTTCCAACCAGCATGATCATTGCCCATGCTAGAGCTGCAGCTGATGTCAGACTTCTATTTATCATTAAAAACATATGCAGTTTAAAAACCTGTCATCAACTTCCAAACACTTCCTGAAAACTGTTACCATATGATAGCTGTCCCAGAATTACCAGCCATAGAGAGTTAACAGTCCAGACACTTTTCCTTGGCTTTCTTACAGGTGACATGAGCACACTTGCTGCAAGCTTGTCTTTTGCAAAACACATTACATTAATATGTTGCATCTGCAATCCCACAGGCAACTTGTGTTCTTCAGCAATGATGGTGTGAGACTATCTCCAGAAATAAGTAATCTGAGTAATGAAAACTAACAGGTTTGATAGCTGAATTGCATGACTGTGATTCTACTGTACTGTAGAAACCCCCAAAGATAACAGAGCTATGATATGTTGTGGCAAAAAACTATCATCTAATTTTCAATTTAGATATGAAAGCCCTGCTACTATAGTGAGATCTCTGTATCTGTGGGGGATCTGTTCCAAACCTTCCTCCCATGGATACCAAAATCCATGGATGCTCAAGCTAGCATTGTCCCCGGTGGCGGTGTGTGCATGTGGCTGTGCTGCCATTTGGGAAAACTGGACTTCAGGTGAAGTCCCATTGTCCCCAGTGGCAGCACATGTCCATGGCCGCACCACCATTAGGGACAACAGGACTTCAAGTGAAGTCCCATTGTCCCTAATGGCGGCATAGCCACATGCACGCATTGCCATTGGGGATAATGTGGGCTTGCCATCCACAGATGCTCAAATCCATGAATAGCAAGTCTGTGAATACCGAGGTCCCACTGAAATAAATAAATAATTTTAAAAAACCAACAAAAAAGATCAACAAAGAAATCCAGTCCAAGATGTTTCTGGTTCATCATTTCTGACTTCTAAATGATCATTAAAGACAATCCATTTCAATGTGTGCAGCATCAGCTTTATTTTGATATTATGAAAATACAAATGATGGCTGTTAGATAGATCAGAATAGATGTAGATAGATCTAATTTTCATTGTAAATATAAACCCCCTGCTAGTATAAAAAAAGAAATCCAGTCCAAGGTGTTTCAGGTTCATCACTTTTGACTTCTAAATGATCATTGAAGGCAATCAATTACAATGTGTTAGCTTCATTTTGATACTATGAAAATACAAATGATGGCTGTTAGATCAGAATCAAACTAAATTTCAGCCCACCCTTGATGTCAGTGCAGAGGGGGCACTGGGTGGCATGTGACTGTGACTAAAAGGATGTGCTTGAATTTTTCCCCTGTCCTTTGGGATATTAATCCACCCCCCCCCATTTTCTGTCATCTGCAGATTTGAAAAGCATGCCTTCTGTTCCATCACCCAAGTCATTTATAAAGATGTTGCACAACACAGGCCCAGGACAGACCTGTATGTCCCAGTTCTTTCAAGTTTCTGCTTCTTGTTATAGGGAATGGTTTCCCTCCCTATAGGCATCCCTTGTGTCTTACCCATCAAGGAGAGTCTGCTTTGCTGCTGTTGCTTCTCTTCCAGCAGGGCAACCAATTTGAACTTGTTGGAGCTATAGCCTCTCATATCCCCTGGAAAAAAATCAACATGACACAGATTTTGCAGCTCATTGCAACAGTGCTTTTACTAGCTCTTTTTTGGGAATTAATATCCCAAAGGGCAGGGGGAAAATTCAAAATAGCCTTTATAGTTTGGAGAGAGGCAGAAAACTACCAAAATAAATTTCAACAGGAGGATATTGATAAGATGGGACATTTCTGGAGAAGGGCAACCAAAATGACTGAAGGTCTGGATACCAAACCTTATGAGGAATACTTAGGGAGCTAGATATGTTTAGTTTTGAAAAAGGAAGACTGAGAGGTAATATTGTAGCAGAGTTCCCCAAGATCCAGATCCAGGAGTCCAAATTTTGTCCAAGGCAAGAACACCTTTATTTTGGCTAAAAGGTGACAACAGCTCCAAAATGGTGCTTAAAGAGTTGCCACACACAGATGTTCTCAAGTTTTTCCTTTATACACTCTACTTGCATAGCACACAGCATTACATGACATAATGTACAGGTCTTTCGTTCTTCCCTCCAGTTCTCCCCTCCAGTCAACTAGAACCCGGGGTGGTTGCCTTCAGGACAAAGAACATTGGCACAGTCTGTTGGGTCTCCACTGCCTAGGCATGAAGTCAGCCACTGGTCTTGATGTAGTGGGGCCCCTTCTCAGTGCACCAATGTTCTCGTCATGTCTCGGAGAGCTGCCAGATCTGTGAAGCCCCCAGGGGCACCTCCCTGATCTGGCTTACTAGGGATCCTGGATGAGCCCCCAGAGAAATGTAGCAGAGTTCCCCAAGAACCAGATCCAGGAGTCCAGGTTTGGGCAGGTTTTCCCCAGCCTAACTTGCACTTTTGCTTACCCTTCAGAGAGAATCTGGAGGAAAAGCCATCTCTACTTCAATATAAGTCTTTAAATTCTTACATGGATCCCAGTCATTCTATGTAGGGAACAACATAGCACTTAAGGGCTTCCTCTCAAACTCCCCCAGGAAATACCCACATAAAATGCCTGTTTTCCTCTTCTTGTTTGCCTTGCTCCAGAGAAACTGCAAAAGCTGCTATATAGAACTACCACTGGCTAGCTCAGCCCCAACCAAGTCAGTGATAATCTTCACAGAAGCCTTGTCCCCTTATACCATGTGCTCAGGGAAAGCACACCACCCCAAAAGAAAGCCTCTGGTTAGCTCAGCCACACATCAACACATGCCTCCAAACAGCTCGATCAATCAAACAATCAACTTTGACTCCAAGAATGTAAGCTCACCTTCTTCTGTCTTTTCCCAACTTGTGAACATCTATGGTTTAAAATCACATGTCACACTACCCTCTATATAGATGTGCTTGGAAATAAGCTTGTTGTACTTAGTACCAGTGAAGAGACACAAGGGTGAGTAAAAAGTGTATTTCCCCTCAGAAATATTTATTTCTCCCATTTTCATTGAATAATGAACATAAGAGGGAGTGCAACTCATCATAATTCCATCTGCCTTAATAGAATCAAGTTGTCACCCTGTTTCACAAACTATCTTCTCTTCCTCTCTCCTTGTTTTTTAATTAATGCAGGCAAAATTCGCCTTTGAAATATAAAACAGATATAGAAGCAGCCAGAGCATGTATGACCTACTTTAGCCTCTAAAAGTCTATTTAATTAAAACTGCATTATAGTATTGCAACATAAAGTATTAACCACATAAAACTGGTTTGGAATTTTTGTGTGTGTGTTATTTAGTCTTGGCCTTTCCCTCTTCATGATGATTTAATGTAAGAAAATAATAATTTTAAAACCAGGACATTGACAAGCTGGAACATGTCCAGGCATGTCCAGAGGAAGAGGAAGGCAACCAAGAAGGTCTAGCGTCCAAGCCACATAAGTAACAGTTGAAGGAGCTGGTTATAGTTAGTAGATGGCAGAGAAGAATGAGAAGTGATATGATAGCCATTTTTAAAGGGCTGTCATATAAAAGATGAACTTGTTTTGCTATTCCAAAATAGGATCCAATCAATGGATTCACAGTGCAACAATGGAGGTTTTTTTTTTTAACTAAACTTAAAGAAGAATTTTTATGGTAAGAGCTCTTTAATAGTGAATACAGTCGCCTGTCCATTTTTACAGGAGATATGTTCCACCCCCTGCCCCCATGAAAACAGAATATTGCAAATATTCAAGCCCCATTGGCTTGAATGGCCGTGCGCTTCTGCACACATGCCATTTTAGCCAATGGGCTTACCAGTCCATGAAGGACCATGTGATGTCCAGCCTGGACTGTTTAAATTCTCCCTTGCATTTTCTTTCATTTTAGTGTAGTCCTTAGTATGTTTGAGCATAGGAATGTTCCATTGTATTAGTTTGTGGGAAGAGCTGTAGGAATCCCCTGCATTTTTCTAGTTTTTGGTTTGCCCCTTCCCAGCAAGCTCTGCTTCAGCTTGGGATTTTTAGTTTTTCTTAGGCAGGCTTGGCTTTATCTATTTGGTGGCAAACAGGCACAGACAGCTGGAAAGGGCATTTCTTACACCATTAGCCAATTTAGTTACCAAAAGCAGTTAATTAAATTGAACATCAACAACAAAGAAG